ATCCCCACTGGGCCATTAAGAAGGCAAGCTAGTCCACTTTTATATAATAAAGACTTCTCCACTTCAGCTCCAGGGGGGAATGGGATTAAAGCATGATAGTATTGGCCTTTTATTCAACTGACCACATGGCATCTGAGAACTCAACCAAACCTGGATTCAAAACGCAGCCTAGAGAGTTGTCCCTGCATGACCCCATGGGAGTCTGATAACCAATCAGAATACAAACTCAAGATCAAAGGCCAGAGAGGGCATAGAACCAGGGACTCGGCACCTCAGGCCTCCCTTCTCTTCTTCTCCACCAACACTGAAGCATCTGATCACCTTTTCTGGTCAGGACTCAAGCCATGTGGCTCTGTCCACCAATAAACCAACTTTCGAAGCAGCCTCCATGTCTTTTTCCCCACTTGGAGCCGAACCCAGAAGGACGTTTCTTTCATCACTCTGAAGTCTTTACTCGGATCATCCAGTGGGTGGCTGGCATTCCACCCCACAGCCAGATGCTTCCTCCTCGTGCAGAGGCGTTCATACCCTCCCCTCCGCATTGAACACAGCCACCACATTTGTCCAGTTAGACCATTTTATTACGGAATGCTACATTTTCCAACTAGGGCTACCAACAATACCAGGAGGGGCCCACCTGGATCCCCAGCGACCCCCCTCCCTGGATCTGAAGCCCCAACTGAAGCAGCCTTCAGATGAGGAACCTGCAGGCCACGGACCCCCAACCTGCATGGAGCTATTCCTGAAAGGCCCCACCCACTTAAAAGGCACAAAGTCACACCCCAGAAGCCCTGGGACACGCCCTGGCATTAAGGCACAGCGTGAAAGGGAGGGGCCCCTCGGCCGGACGAAGCTCCCAGAGTCCCCACGCTGGCTTGGCAGAGGCAGGCACAGAAACCAAGCTTTGGCACGCAAGTTGCAGCTTCTGCCCAGGCGGGCAAAAAGAAGGCACTGAACAGGGGGCAGCATCCTCCCTCCCTCCCTCCCCCCCCAGGTTAAGCAGCCGAGGGCCTTCCCTTCCGCCCTGGCAGAACATCAGCTGCAACCTCAGGGAATCAAGTCCACGACAGGGTTCAACTTTAGACATGATTTGTAAAAATGGGGGGCTCTGCTTCTCTGAGGGCGAAGAGTTGGCTGCTCTGGATTCAGGGGACTCTGCACCGCATCCTTAACGTTGAACCAAGATGCCACGGGGAGCAGATCCCAGCCTTGGCGTCGCTTGAGAGTTACGCAGAGAGGTGACAACTTGGGATCCCTTAACTCGTTTCAAAATGACGGGGTGCCTGTCAGCCCTACATGCCTTGAGTGCGGCGAGAATTTCTGAGAAGGAACTGGAGTTGAGAATAGCCCATTTAAAACTGGGCTATGGAGCCCAAGACTTTGAGTTCAGCTCCTGGGGGCTGTGGCCTGTCCCCACCAGAGCCCCCCCCCTTCTGCACTCTGTCCTTGCACAGAGGCAGCTCACTCTCTCTCCAGGTGCCCCAAAAGAAGACGCAGAAAGAGCCAGGGGGTGCCCCGTCTTTCGTCTTCCTGCACTGTTTTGGTGAGGGTAAAAAGAAAAGATGTTTAAAGCCCCACTGACTGAGTTGGGGGCAGCAGCACCGCTGGGACCCCAAGGATGAAGTCCGGGAGGCAGCAGTTTCCACCCAAGGCAAACTCTGCTGGGGGCTCCAGAGGAAAGTCAGCAAAACTGGGGCAGAACTGGAGACCCCCCAGTGCAGCCCAACTCCCGATGCACTGGGCCAATTTCCAAGCCTGCATTGGCTGCAGTGAAGGCACCAAGAGCTCTCCTCCAGGTTGGGCGGGGGGGGGGGGATTCACATAGAGAAGCAAGAAAGGCGATGGGAGGAGGGGGACAGTATGGAAGGGTTGAGTGCCACCCCTCCCCCTCCGTTTGCGCTCTCCTGAAAGCAGAGGGTGGCCAGCAGAAGCAGGGAAAGGGACCCTCCCCTGGGTCTCTCCACGTGCACCGACTCCTGCTCTCCCCCTCCGGCAGCCTCGCTGGGCCGTTACGTCTTCTGCTGCTGGGGCCTCACTCTGGGGAACAGCTGGGGAAGGAAGGGGGCCGTGAGGAGCAAGAAAGACCGCGGCTGAGCAGCCCCACATGGCTGGAAAGCAGGACACTCCCCCCCCCACACACCCGGCTGCTCTGCCCTCGGGTCCCCGAGACTCACCCCAAAGTAATTCTTGGGCACGTAGCCCTCCTGGCCGTAGAGAGAGGCCCACCACCAGTCCTGCTCCTCCTGGCCATCCCGCCGCAGCACAGTGACCATCTCGCCCTCGCGGAAGGAGAGCTCGTCGCCGAATTCAGCACTGTAGTCCCACAGGGCGTAGACCACCCCGTTATTCATCAGCCCCATGTTCTGCTCCACCTCTGTGGCAAGAGAGACCCCCCCAGGGCAAAGAGTGAGAAAGCAGCCGGCCCCCGGGCTTCTGTGGCCCAGAAACATCCGTGCCGCCAGCGGGTGCCACCTGAGGACTGAGGGAGCTGGCCAAGAGGGACCCGCTGGGCGCCACTGAGCAGACACGAAGGGCTGCCCGGTCTTTCCTGCGTCCCTGGGTGCCCGGCCGTCTGGCCTCCCTCACCTGCCAGATAGCTGAAGCACTCGTTGTAGCCTTCTCGATATGGGTCGCACTTCTCGATGGCCAGGCTCCCGTCGCTGAACGTGGTGGCAAAGATGGCGGCCCCGTGCTTCACCAGAGCCACGCAGATGGCCGTGTCGTTGCAAGAAGCCGCGCAGTGCAGGGGGGTCCTGGAAGGAAGGAGGCGGCTGGCTCAGGGGAGGCCCGCATCATGTCCGGGCACGCAGGGTGCTCCCCTCCCCACAGGCAGGAAGCCCCTTCCTGTCCCCAGGACTCACCAGCCGTGGCTGTCTGGGGAATTGACGTTGGCCCCGATGTTGATCAGGAAGTCCACAATGCTGTAGTTGGCCCCACAGATGGCATTGTGCAGAGCGGTGATGCCCTCGTCGTTCGGCTGGCTCGGGTCGTTCAGCTGTGGCAGGACAAGGCAGAGGCTGCACAAACTCAAGGGGCAGATTTACCCAGAAACCCCGTCTGGCTGTAACTCCCACCCACCCCAAGTCATCCCCTGCAGAGCTCTTGGTGCTCTGAGCTTGGCGGGTTGCTTGCAGTGCGGATGAGACCCACTCTGGTAAAGAAATGTCTGCAACGCCACCGCCAACCTCAGAGAGCACCAAGGACCCCCCAGATTAGTCCAGCTGTGGAGCTTCAGTTCCACGAATCCCCTCTTATTCCAGCTCATCCCGGGAGTCGCGGTTTCTGAGTCCGGCCCGCCTCGCACAGCTGCCGTTTGCTTAAGGAGAGAACCACGAACCACACACCATACCCACCACCACAGCCGTGCACCTTCAGCCAGGGGAAGGTGCCCCGTCCGAGGGCTGCCAGGCGCCAGCTCACCTCCTTCACCGCCTCCTTGACCACCTCCAGCTCCCCCGTCAGGGCCGTGTCCAGCAGCAGCACCAGGGGGTTGAGCCGCGCTTTCTTGGTCGTCCGTTTCCGGGGGGAAGAGACCTTGCGCAGCGCCGAACGCTTCTCCTGCAGAGCAGCCCAAGGAGCGATTAGGGCAAACCCTCCTGCACACAGAAGCTCCCCTTCCCCGCTATCGGCCCCTGGGGGCCCCTTCCAAAGCCCGGAGGAGGAAGGAGCCATCAGGGGGCTCAAGTGGGCACCGTATGCCCCCTCCTCCTCAACTACAGGAGTTGCCCTCCTTCCAGGGGCTCCTGGGTCCTTTGAGGTGGGGGGGGGCCCTCAGAGCTGCACAGAATGGCCAAGGGGCAACCCAAGAGGGAGAATTTTGCTGAGCCCCTGAGGACCCCCAGAAGAGCCAGGGCAGGTCGAGGCCCCCCAGTCCACCCAGATGGTTTGTGGGCGGGGGGTTGACAAGCAGAAGGCAGGGCCATTCCCCCCTCAGCCTCCTCTCTACGGAGCCCCGGAGTCCCAAGCAATCAGGAGGAGCCTTCGGGGCGGCAAAGGCCCCTTTCTGCTGGAGGGGGGTGGGGGGCTCCCATCCTCAGGGAAGTGGGCAAAACGGCCCCCAAACGCTCCACTTACCGGGCTGGGCATTGGAGAGAGAGTGGCCGGGCTCTCTGGTGCCGGCGGGGGGGTCATGGCAGGGCTGGCGGTTGGGGTGGCCGGGGCCCCCTTCTGCTCCGTGGCCTCAGTGATGGGCGAGAGGTCCGGCAGGGAGGGGGGGTTCCCCGCGGGCGCAGCCGCCTCCTTGCGGGGCTGCTGGTGGAAGAGGCGGCTGATGATCTGCTGGTACTGTTTCTTGTGGGGGGGCAGCAGAGCCGGGCTGGGGTTCTGCTCCATGGAGCCCCGGCGCTTCAGGGGCCGAGGCATCTCCGCCAGCACCCGGGCCACCTCCTCGAACTCGGGCACCGTCTGGGCCTCGGGGGGCAGGACCGGCTGCAGCCGGGTGGGGCTGAGGGGCCGGGCCAGGTCCTCCATCTCGGCCGGCTCACTGCCCGGCAAGAGGCTCTCCAGCTCGGGCTCCGCTTCGCTCGGCGTCAGGAGGATGGGCACGATGCGCTCAGCTGGCATCGCCGTGGCTCTTGGGCTGGCACTGCCTGGAGGGAGGGAAGCCGGAAGTGGCGCCTTCAGCAAAAGCATTCGTGTCGCTAGTCCTCGACTTATGACCAGAAAAATTTGTGTTGCTAACCAAGACAGTTGTTAAGTGAGTCACCCCTCATTTTACAACCTTTCTTGCCACAGTTGTTAAGCGAATCTGGCTTCCCCATTAACTTTGCTTGACAGAAGGCTGCAAAAGGTGATCACGTAACCCCGGGACACTGCAACTGGCGCACGTACATGCCAGTTGCCAAGCATTTGAATTTTGTTCATGTCACCATGGATTATGCAATGGTCATAAGTCTGAAAAAACACTGTAACTTTGAATGGTCAGTAAATGAACTGTTGTAGGTCGAGAACAGCTTCTATTTACCACGGGGTTAACAGCTGCCTTGCATTCACCCACGGGGGGCCTCCGGCTGTGGCGCCAGGGAGCCCTTCCCGTTGCCCGCTCCCTCCAGTGCCGCTCACCTTCGCTGCTGGGCTGCACCGGCCGGAAGGGCCCCTGTGCCGGGGCGAACGGCTGTTGCAGCAGCTTCTGTAGGGAGCGCAGGGCCAACGGAGACCCCACTGGCCCTGGGGGCAGCCCGAGTTTGCCGCCCGCCGCGCCGGACTCCCAGAAGGCATTCTGCAGCCGGAAGATCATGGAGAGGGGCAGCGGCTTGTGGCGCCTGGGGAGGATGCCGCCCTGTGGGGCAGGTGGGGGCATGGGAATGCGGGAGATGGGCTGCCAGTTGCGGGGCAAGGTGCCGGCCTGGTTGGCAGCCAGGGAGCGGCGGAAGGAGCTGTCCGGGCGCCTCTCGCCAGCCAGGGCCGAGACCTTGTAGTTCCTGGGCAAGGTGGCACTGCTGTTCATCCCGTAATGCTCCTCCTGAAGGGGGAAGGAAGCCAAGAGAGAGGGTCACTTGCCACCCTCCGTCCCTCCTCCTCCTCCCCCTCTCAGCCCAAGGGCCTCCGGGCACGGACACTGACCTTGCCTGCCCAGCCCCCGTCCAGGCTGGACTCCTTCCAGGGAGCCAGGGGCAGCCCAGCCGCGCTCTGGCGAAGGCTTGTGTGCGCATCCACACCTGGGGGGGGGGGAAGACCATCGTCAGGGGGACCGAGTCCCTGTCTGGCCCCTCCCTCTGCCGGGGGTCTCTCCTGTGCCCAGCGATTCTCCGACAGGCACCGAGATGGGGAGGGGCTCCCGAGGGACCCTCAGTCAGCAGAAGCTCACAGCCGTCGCCTGCCAGCGGGATCCCTCCGGCACACAAGGCACCAACCCTTGCGGGATCTACCAGGAGGAATCCAGGTCTTGCTCCAGGATCCTCTGGGAAAATCTGCCCGTGGCCAGAGGGGCATTGGAGAGCCTTCTGTTGGGGCAGCCGCCCTCCGGCATGTGCCCCCCCATGAGTGCCAGGTCTGCTCAGGGAATTCCAGCACCCCCCACCCACCCCCCGCGCAGACTCACGCTCGTAGCCCACAGGGTGCGGCGCCTTCTTTTCATACACCATGTCCAGATCCGTTTCGTTCCAGCTTTTCGGGGCCCTCCTGCGCATCGCCAGGTCGTCTGCAGAAAAGAAAGAGCCAGGGTGGCGTCAGAAGGGCTTCTCCATGTACCTCCGTCCTGGACGAGGGGAAACACCTGTGGGAAGAGCCATGCCAGCCTCGGGGGCCACTCATGGCCAGACTGCAGCAGAGCCCGGATTTTGGAGGACACCTGAACAGCTTCTTGGAGAAAAAGGTGGCCTCGTTTGCTCTGCTTGCCTCCTTTCCTTCTAGGGCAGCTTCAGCCCCCCCCCCCCAAGCCCTCCAGGCGTTGCAGGACTACAACCACCAGCACGTGCCAGGGGGTCCTTGCTGCTTAGAAGGGGGGGGCATGCACCCAGTCCAACTAGAGATCCCCAGGTGGGAAGGGCCGTTTTGCACAAACGCTCGACTTAAATTCTGCCATTTAAAAGCCAAACTTTTATCTTGTGAAACTCTCAAATTAAGAACAGAAAAGTGAGGGAGGGCGTGCCAGGGGGTCCTTGCTGCTTAGAAGGGGGGGGCATGCACCCAGTCCAACTAGAGATCCCCAGGTGGGAAGGGCCGTTTTGCACAAATGCTCGACTTAAATTCTGCCATTTAAAAGCCAAACTTTTATCTTGTGAAACTCCCAAATTAAGAACAGAAAAGTGGGGGAGGGGGAGGGGGAGGGGGGCAGTTAAAACGAGGATAAGGGAGACGGGGGTTGTTTGCTATGAAAACCCAGGAAGGGTCTGCACTCTACGGCGGAAATTCTGCAGGTTTTCACGGCCTTCGGACGTCTCCCCTCGTTTCCCTTCCGCTCTTCCATTCCTCTTTCAGCCACACAAAGAGGGGAAGGGAAGATAGGAGCAACACTGGCTCCCCTCCCCCCCCCAGAAACCTGGCCGAGCCAAGGTGGCCCCCAGCACCCCTCCAGTCCTGCCCAAACAGGCCTCGGCAGCCTCCTAGGAGCTGGAAACGTGATATCCGGAGCTCGGGTTCCTTGGGCGAGGACATTCCAGCCCCACTCGGCTGACACACCCCGCTCCCTGCGCCCTGAATGCAGCCCATAATAAGCCTCTTGAGCAACACCTGGGAGAGATCCAGGTGCTGTGCAGCTGCAGGGCAGCCTAAGGGTCTGGCAGGCACTTACCTTGGGCCCAGAAGGAGCCTGGCGCCGAAGGATACAGGCTGTGGCTCTCGTAGGGGGGCGGGAGAGGGGGGCGCGGAGAGGGTCCTCGCTCTGGGAAGAAGGCCTGGGACATGGCGCTTTCTCCGGGCAGCCGCGGAGAGCCGGCCCGGCCCCCCCACCCGCCGGTGGCAGCAAACGGACGGTAGTCAAACTGGCGCTCGGGAAGGCCGGCAGGTCGGAGGGAGCGAGGGGAGCCGCCGTGGGACCCGGGGCCAGGCAGGCCCTCATAAGGGACGGCCATGACTTTGGGCCTGGAGGGGCTCCAGTCCACCTCCGACTGCAGGAAGAAGGAAGGCCGGGGGGAGGAGGGGCGCCCCAGGGTGGGCTTGGGGGCCAGAAGCTGGCTGGGCGAGGAGCTGTAGGGGGACAAGCTGGGCTCCGTGAGGTCCCAGGTGGGGCTCTTCCGCAGGTGCAGGGGGGAGGCAGCCCGGGCGTCCATCGTCAGCAGGTCCGGGGAGGAGAGGGAGCTGTACCTGTCGGCCACCTGCCAAGCAAAGTGGGGGGAGAATCAGCCCTCCATCCCCCCTTCCAGGCAGAGGAAAGGCAGCCTTCGGGGGGGGGGGGGCTTTGCCAAGGACTGCAGCCGTCTCCCTGGCGGCAGGGGGGGGCCCATCTCCCAGTCCCCCTCTTCCGACATGAAAGGACACGTCTGTATATTCCAAGGAGAAAAGGGGGGATTGGGAGACCCCCGGAGGGCTTCCGACTTCTCTGCCTGTGGAGAAGATCCAGGGAGCAGCCTGGCCACCCTCCAGAGGAAGGCTCAGCCCCTTCCCCAAAATTGCTTGGCACCGGAGGAGGCTGAGTGGAAGGGCCAGAGTTTCCCATGAATAGCACCCCCCGTTCGGCTCCCAGGACCTCCGAGCAACGCCCTGCTAACCTGGAAGTGCAGATTGGAGCCCCCTTGAACAGCCCGGCAGGCCCCGCCCTGCCCCACCCAAGCCCAGGGTGGCCCTGCCCCCCCTCCTCTGCCTCACCAGGGATGGCAGGACAGGCGGCCCGGGATGGTCCGTCCAGAGCGACTCCAGCTGCTTGGAGAGCTCGTCCACTTTGGCCGCAGCTGTGTCCAGCTCCAGCTGCTTGAGGTCCATGTGCTTGCACGCCAGGGCTGTGGGGAAGAAGAGCAGGTGAGGAGGGGCAGGGCTCCCCCCTCCCACCCGGAGACCTTTAGGAGCAACCTCGACACCCATTATCCTTGGCCAGGATAGGATGATGGGAATCAAAGTCCAAGGCAAGGAACGGGAGCTCCCACGAGGAGCCCCTTTTCTGCCTCTGGGAATGAAGACAAAGAGCCCCGGCTCTCTCTGGCTCCTTCTTGCATTGCAGCCAAAACTGGCCCTGGAAAGGATTCCTCCAGCTCAGGGGTCTCCAAGCTGAAGACCCTTTAGGCCTTGAGGAGTTCAACTCCCAGAATTCCCCAGCTAGCAGGATGGCAGGAGCCAAGGAAATGGGAGGGCAGGTGATGGGGAGGGGGTGAAACGGCTCCCTTTGGCCTTTCTCAAGAAGGGGAGTCTCCTCGAGGAAAGAAGAAAGTAGAGAAGGGAGGGAGGGGGAGAAAGGAAGAGAGGAGAGGAAGGGAAGGAAGATAGAGAGGAGGAGAGGAAGATGGAAGGGAGAAGGAGAGAAAGAGAGAAGGAGAGAGGGTAGGAAGGGGAAGAGGAAGAGAGGAGGAGGGGAGAGGTAAGGGAAGAAGGAAGGGAAAGGAGGTTGACAAAGGCTGATCATGGATGGTTTAGGGAACCTGCTGCTGTCAAAACTGGGCTTGGGGAGGCCTCCAACATGGAGCTCAAACTCGGCTTTCTTGGAAGAACAAAGGGGGAGGGAGGGAGGGAGGGGTCCAAGCAGAGCTGCCCAGTGTGGCCCCTTCCAAAGCTCTCTCTCTCGCTGAGCCCTTGCCTGCCCCCCTCCTGCCTCCCCTCAACTCACATTGGAAGGTGAGATCCAGGAGCTCCTGGGCGCTGCTGGTGAGGTCTTGGCTGGCCATGGCGAGCAACCTGGGTTTCTCCACCGGCAGCTACCAGCGCTCGAGGGTCTCGGCGACCTGGGAAGAGGAAGCATCTCTGTAAATGGCACCCAGCAACTCCCCCTGCTGCCCTGCCCCAGGGTGGCACTTCCATGCCTACTGCTGGCACCCGTGCCCTGCCCAGGACAGCTCTGCAGATGCCAAGGAATCAGCCCTCCCCGTCTCCTGCTAGCAAGTTGGCACCGGAGCAGCTTTTCCAGGGAGGGGCCAAGAACCAAGCAGAGCTCTTGATCCTGGCAGGACCTGGGAGGGCTGCGCCATCACAGAGCCCAGCGTCAGAGGGCGGGTGGGGCCGAAAGCGGAGAAGCCCCAGGATTCCCCCCCAGTGTGGCCTCTTCCGGGCCAGGCCAGCTGGGAAGTAAACAGCTCCCCAAAACAAGCCTCTTGCTGGCTTGCAGGATCGTTCTGGGGCCTTAGCTTCAGGCTTGCACAGGGTTCTAGTCCTCATAAAGGGGCCAAAGTCATGTCAAGCAAAGAGGCAGGAGATCGGATGGACTCCCTTGCTCCTTCGCTCAGTGGTCAAAGCAGCCTTTTTAGAGCCAACTTTGAAAAAAAAACGACACCAGGAATCCAATTAAGCAAGGAGAAAAATGCGTCTGACTTCCCTTCCTCCATCCAGGGAGCCCAGCAGAGGCCCTTTCGCCACCCACTGCCCTCTAGGCCTGCTTGACCCACAGCTGGAGACTTCCATGGGGGGGGAGTATTTATCCTCAGCCCTGCGTCCTCCCAGCCCTGAGCCCGCAAGGACGTTCTGTTCCTCAAAAAGGTGGTTTCCATCCTTCCTCAATGCCTCTGCATTCCCAAGAAGACCGAGTCCCTCTTGCAAGGGAGTTCACCTCCTGCCAGCCTTAAGCCAGCTTCCCACGACTTTCTTTCCCAGCTCCAGTTTCCTTCCAGCTCAGGGAAAGAGCGCAGCAGGACGGCATCCTCCCTCCCCTTCCCCCCCTCTCTGGGCTCACGAGGGGCTTCGGTCTCCTTAACTCTGCCCCAAAGACCCCTGTGAACTTCCGTAGAGAGAGCCCCTTTTCAGGAAATGCCTGAAGAAAGGAAGCCGCTTCCTTCTAGCCAGAAATATCCTGGGTTGGGCTGCCAATAAACCACGTTAAAGTGCTCCCGGAAGCTCCTTTGAGCTGCTTGGAGTGGCCTGGGCTGAGATCAGCTGTTTAGGCATTGGATGGGAGGCCACCCAGGATCCCAAGTCTCCCGGCAAGGCTGGGAAGCGAAACCAGACACAGGGAAGCAAACCAACCCCGCATTGTTAAGGAAATAACACAGGTTGTAAGTCACCAGGCATGACTTCACCCCACGGAATTCCTGCCCATTTCACAACGGGCCAGTTTCACAAGCGAAATGACCAGGTAAGGGCATTCAAGGCCAGGCCACTCACTGGTCAAGCTGCCAATTACCCCCTTGGAAACGAGAGCAAAGACTAAAAATATTTACCCTCATTTGCATGCAGGATGCAATCCGCCCTTGGGAGGCACAGAGGGTGCCCTGCTGTCACCCTGCCAACCCAGACATGCCAGCCTCAACCCAGCCCTGCGGGGCGGGCGCCAACCCTTTGCCCGTGCCAAAAATACACTCCCTCCAAAGGGTCCCCAGCAAGGATGCAGGGCACGAGGCCCCCCGTGTGCCCTCTGCCTCGGCATCACCAAGCAAGAAGGCAAAAGCTCTCTGCTCATGCTCAGAGGCACTCCTCCCTCATTTTGAATGGGGGGGGGGCTGCGGCTGGGACCCCCAAAGCGTTGAGTTCAGATCACTTTAAGGTGCCATATTCAGCTGTAAGCCAGAAGAATCTTTCCCACTTTTTACTCTCAACAACCGAAGACAAAGCAAGGAATTTCTAAGCCAGGAGTGTCTGGGTCAACTTTTAAGACTTGTGGACTTCATTCCCCCCCCAATTCCTTAGCCAGCTTTCCTGCCTGGGAATTCTGGGAGCTGGAAGTCCGCAGGTCTTAAAGTTGGCCTGCTCAAAGTTTTAAATAAAGGGCTGCAATGTAAATCACACACACACACACACAGACCCCAATGCATTTTAAACAGCCAGTGGCTCAACAGGCAGTTTTCCAGCCCTGCCATGGTCTGAGAGAATAATCTTGGGGAGAAGACGGCCAAGGAAAGATGAAGAGAATTCGGGATCCAAAGGAGGGAGAGGATTCAGAAGGGAGCCCCCTCCCCTCCCCATATTCTCTGGGAAGCAGAGGCGGGGGGGAGGGGAGGCTCCCAGGCTTGCAAAGGCTGACGTCAGATGTTTGAGCTAGTCCAGGCAGGAAACCAAAACCGTGGCGATTAACTCTACCTTTATTGTAAGAATCTTGCAAGTCTGGAGTCCTTGCCCTGCGGAAGAGTAAACAAGAAGGAGTTTCTGAGCATGAGCAGAGTTTGTGGAACCAATAAGGAGCACCTCTCTCAGCATCTGCAGCCACTTCAGCCTAGCAGTTAGGGCACCAGGCCAGAAAGCGGAAGGCCATGAGTTCAAGTCCTGCCTTAGACATGAAAGCCAGACGGGTGACTTTGGGCCAGTTACGATCTCTCAGCCTAACCCACCTTTCAGGGTTGTTGTTGTGGGGAAGGGAGGAGGAGGAGGAGGAGGAGGAAGGTCCCCTGGCTATGTTTGCTGCCTTGAACTATTTTTAAAACTCATAAAGGAAGGATGCAGATCAAAACCAAAACCCCTGAGCCTTCGATTCAAATGCCGTGGATCCCTGCCAGAGCCCCGCAGCAGGGTGGGGCCACGGGACCCTCCTCCCAGTCCACTTCCATTGGGCCGATGATGGGAGTTGGAGTCCAGCACATCTGGATGGCACTAGGCTGGGGAAGGCCAGTCTGCGCACTTCTGCCTCCTCTTCCTCAGAAGGCTGTGAGCAGGAAGCTCCCCGCAGGAAATCCTCAACTTACGGCCCAGAATTTCTGCTGCTAAGAAGGACAGTTGTTAAATGGGCTTTGCCCCACTTTATAACCTTTCCTACCACAGTTGGTAAGTGAATAACTGCCATTAAGTGAGTCCCATGGCTAAGTGACTCTGGCTCCTCCATTGACAGAAGGTCGCAAAAGTGGATCACGGATCCCCAGACACGGCAGCCGTCGTAAATACATGCCAGTTGTCAAGCGATCTTAAATGATCTTAAGTTGCTCCAGCCTGGAAGCTATAATGAGTCCCTATCAATCCTGACTTCTCAAATTGAGCAAGGAAAAAAATGACTTTTCCTCCCATGCCACATGTTGCCTCTGCATCTGTACGGGGTGGTTGCGGGGCCCATCCCAGTTTTTCCCAACCAGACCCAGCACAACTGGTTAGACTGGGTGTTTCTCAACATCAGTCACTTTAAGTCAGATGGACTTCAACTCCCAGAATTCCCTGGCCTGCCGAATGAGGAATTCTGGGAGTTGAAGTCCCCCCCCCATCTTAAAGTGGCTGAGGTGGAGTTAGCTTAAAATCCCCCACCAGCCCAAACAGGCTCCAGTTGTGAGGAAAGGAAACGGCAGCACATCTGGAAGGCAACAGTTTCACAAAACAACAGAGTTTACTCCGAGTGGGAAGCGTTGTGTAACATTGTCACGGCAACTTCTCATTTATCCTATTTTGCAAGGAAGCCGAAAGCCACCTTTTAAGCTACCCAACCACATTTTTTCCCTAATCCATTATTGACATGATTAATACAATAACTTCTTTTCTTTTTGCTCCCGGACCAAGAAACAGCACAAGGACGTCGGTTCAAACTCCCCTGCACTTAGGAGCCGCCATAGAGAGTGGTTAGACTTAAATCCATTTTTCAAATGTTAAATGGATCTTTGGCAATTTCCAAAGTTCGTCTTAAAAGTCTCAGATGGAGACTTTATTTATTCCAAAGGGGCAAACAGTTCTGCTCCTTCAGGGCTGCCCCTTATGGTTTGAAGCAGAATCTGGATTCCTCTCCTAGCTGGTCAGCATTAATAAGTCACTGTAAGCCACTGATGACACGTCTATTAGGAGGTAAAAAGCCGTAAACAAATAGCCACATCTCTGCACTTGGTTTTCTCCACCTTATAATTGCACGGGAAGAGAGCAAAACCCAAAAGATTAACAGGCTTCATTTCATTCTCTCTGGGCAGCTCTTTGGCTCAGTGGCTGGCACAGAAGGTTGTTGCAGGAGCCCAACAGTGCCAGGATGTGCAGCCTTCCAGAGGTTGCAGCCCCAACACCAATGGGATCCTGGGATCTGCAGTTCAGGAATATCCAGAGAGCTACGGGTCACATACACCTGATCTCAGGAGGTTCTGGCTGAAAGAGCAAAAGGCGACCACTGGCGCTTGAGAGATTTTGGGAGACCAAGAGCGGACTGGCCCAGGGCTTCAGCAAGGGCCCTCGGGGCCTGGCTCAGGGACTTTTCCCCAATAGCACTCTGGCTGCTCCGGAGGCCAACTAGCAGCTGGCCCAGAAGGTGCCCGGAGTGCCAATGGTCTCAGCCGATGCAGGAAGCAGCCAGGGACCTTGTGTGGCCGTGAGCCTGAGGGGAGGAACCTGCTCCACCCCAAAGGCTTCCCACCCAGGGACAGGCAGGCAGGCAGGCAGACAAACAGCCGTGGCAAAGAGCCTGGAATAGCTGCAGGCTGACGTGTTGATGGTTGGGCTGAAAAGGTCGCCTGATAAAGCAGGGCAGGTTTAGCAGAAGTGCATTCTCTCTCGCTGGCTCACTCATCCCCTTTCAAGCTGTTCCCCCCCCCCCACAAACCCCCCAAAGGCTCCCAGAGAGCTGGAGAGGCTGAGCCAGCTGTGGAAGGGCCATCCAGCAGCAGCCCCTGGCCAGGAGAGCAGTGGAGCCTCCCTGAACAGGAGCAGCGTATCTCTGGATACTGGGGATCAGGAAGAAGGGGAAGGCGGCCTTTGAGTGGGTGCCCTGCTAGAATCAGCGGCAGAGATGGAGGCAGCTGCTCCAGGAAAGGGCCTGCGGGGGATCCAGTTCCCTAGAGCAGTGTTTCTCAACCTTGGCAACTTGAAGATGTCTGGACTTCAACTCCCAGAATTCCCCAGCCAGCATTCGCTGGCTGGGGAATTCTG